GGAGCCCGCCTGGGGCACCGGCTCAGCTTCCCTCTCCCGAAGCGCCGACAGAAGACGGCCCTGGGTGCCGCCGGGGTCGCGGAGGAGGCGGCCGCGCTCTGGGGCAAGCGGGGCCCGCGCCCTCCCGGGCCGCGGCCGGTCAGAGCGGGCTGGCCCCGCTGCGGTCTGTGCCCGTAGGGCCGGGCCAGGCTCCGCTCCCGCCCGGCACCCCCCGCCATCCAGGTGCAGCCTTGATTTCCTTCTGCCCCCCCCAACTTTTGTGGTCGCCAGACCTCGGCCGACGGGACGCTGGGCGCCCGCCGGGCGGAGTGAGGAAGCCGCGCTCCCTGGGCTCGGTGCGGTTACGGCTGAGGCGCAGCCGCAAGGTACAGCTTGCCCTGTGCTGGCAGCAGGCCCCTGCCACCCCGTCTGCTTACATTATACTGTCTAGCCAGAAATAACGTATGTTATCCGAGCAACAGCGAACAAGGAGTCCAATGACGAGGAGGCAGAAGGGAGGAAAAGCTAACCGGCAAGTATAGAAGGAAGAGACGTTAAAGGGGAGGCTAGATGTGGATTAAAAACCCGACCCAATCACAGAAGGCTCTTACCAGGGTAAAACAGATGAAGAGGTCTGAGAAATCAGCACTGATCCAGAAAACATCCAGGCCGAATCGAGCTGTCCTTCAACCCCCCCCGCCCCCCCAATTCATGCTGTTTTTATTTATTAAAGCTTCTGGCTGACAGATACTCCCAGTGGATATATGGAGAAGAAGGATCAAGAAACAAGTAATTTATGGCTGAAGTTTAGCATTGTCAGAACAGCTTTTGCTGCCAGCAGCTGATGAATACAGGGTAAGAGATTAAGATGCAACTATTTGGTATGGCTTTGCCTTGCCAGAATTGAGAGTGTGCACCAAACACATTGTATGAACTGTTTTTAATAGGTTGGTTTCTTCCTACTATATGGAGCAGTGACTGACTCAGGGAGCAGACCGATTAGTCTGCTAATGACCTTATGACCAGGTTTTTCAACTACAGAACACCTTCATCAGCTGTGAAATGCTCAGTTTTGTATGAATGTTGCTGTTCAACCCCAGCCAGCAACTAAGCACCATGCAGCCACTTGCTCAATTTCCTCCCTCCCAGTGGGATGGGAGAGAGAATCAGAAGGAAAAAGGTAAAACTCGTCGGTTGAGATAAAGACAGTTTAATAGAACAGAAAGAAAGAAACTAGTAATTATAGTAATAACAATAATAAAATGACAATACTAATAAAAGGATTGCAATATACAAAACAAGGGATGCACATTGCAATTACTCACCAACTGATTCCCAGTTAGTTCCTGAGCAGCGATCCCCCACCCAGCCAACTCCCCCCAGTTTATATACTGGACATGACGTCACATGGTGTGAAATACCCCGTTGGCCACTTTGAGTCAGCTGCCCTGGCTGTGTCCCCTCCCAACTCCTTGTGCCCCTCCAGCCTTCTTGCTGGCTGGGCATCAGAAGCTGAAAAATCCTTTGACTTGTTGCTCAGTTGTGTTTATACTAACTGAAAACATCAGTGTGTTGTGTTATCAACATTGTTCTCCTACGGAACCCAAAACATAGCACTATACCACCTACTGGAAAGAAAATTAACTCTATCCCAGTTGAAACCAGGACAATATCCAGCCCTTATTCTATACCATTTATGTTGTGCTCAGGTCACATACTTTCCAATAGATCCTAATCAATCACCATCACCTTTTCCATCCTTTGAGACAGATATAGATAGATATATGCACACACAGAGATATCATTCCCTTAGTCTATGGGCCATCTCTATAAAATGTTCATCGAGTTCCTTTAGTCCCTGAATTTGGGCTCCATCTATCATAGCAGTCTTTCTGGGCAGGAGGGATGGTGCGAAGCCCGCTCAGTCGGCAGAGCAGGAACGGGCTTCAGTGCGGTGTGGCGAGTGGGTGACATTGGGCACAGCAGGAGGATGGTGTGCACTGTTGGATTGTTGCATGCCAAAGTCAGTTCTGGTTCCATCGCTACTGTGCTTCGCTCAGTTTTATCAAAGTTCATTCTTGCTTGATCTAAGTGGTTCTTACTGTAATACCATTGTTAAAGCATATAACAATTATAGTAATGATAACATACAATGGCAGGGTTATATAGCAACTAACGTCATACAATTTAATTCATTGGCTAGTCTCACCTAAAATCAAATCCCCTTGAGGCACACATCGGACTTCCCCATCTTTTTGCATCATCCACCACGTGCACCCAGGTCCTTGAGCAAAAGCAATCCCACAATTGGGTTTGCTTTTGCCTGAGGCAGGAGTAACCCAGACTGTCTTCCCTAACATATTTTTTATGTGTGCTATACGGACTTTATCCCCTTCTACAGTACGTAAAAGTTCTGACTGGGCAGGGCCACCCTGAGTGGCAGATCCTCTGGTGTTGACTAACTAGGTGGCTTTTGCTAAATGTGTATCCCAATGTTTGAAGGTGCCAGCACCTATTGCTCTCAGTGTAGTCTTTAACAGTCCATTGTATTGTTCGATTTTCCTGGAGGCTGGTGCATGATAGGGGATGTGATATGCCCGCTCAATGCCATGTTCTTTGGCTCAGGTGTCTCTGAGGTTGTTTAAGAAATGAGTCCTGTTGTCTGACTCAGTTCTTTCTGGGGTGCCATGCCACAAGACTTGGTTTTCAAGGCCCAGGATAGTGTTCCGGTTGCTGGCAGGGGGCACAGGATATGTTTCCAGCCACCTGGTGGTTGCATCCACCATTGTAAGCACATGGTGCTTGCCTTGGCGAGTGAGTGGGAGTGTGATATAGTCAATCTGCCAGGCCTCCCCATATTTATATTTCAGCCATCACCCTCCATACCACAGGGACTTTAACTGCTTGGCTTGCTTAATTGCAGCACATGTTTCACATTCATGGATAACTTGTGCAGTAGTATCCATGGTTAAGCCCACCCCTTGATCACGAGCCCATCTATATGGTGCATCTCTTCCCTGATGACCTGAGGTGTCATGGGCCCACCTAGCCATGTATAACTCAGCCTTATGTTGCCAGGTGGATCCACCTGAGCCACTTCAATCTTGGCGGCCTGATCCACCTGCTGGTTGTTTTGATGTTCTTCAGTGGCCCGACTCTTGGGTGCGTGAGCATCTACGTGACGTACTTTTACAACCAGATTCTCTAGCCAGGACACAATATCTTGCCACAGTGCAGCAGCCCAAATGGGTTTACCACTGCGCTGCCAGTTGCTCTGCTTCCATTGCTGTAACCACCCCCACAGGGCATTTGCCACCATCCATGAGTCAGCATAGAGATAGAGCACTGGCCACTTTTCTCTTTCAGCAATGTCTAACGCTAGCTGGATGGCTTTCAACTCTGCAAACTGACTCGATTCATGTTCTTCAGCAGTTTCTGCGAGTTGTCGTACAGGACTCCATACAGCAGCCTTCCACCTCCGATGTTTTCCCACGATGTGACAGGACCCATCAGTGAACAGGGCATATTGCCTCTCATTTTCTGGCAGTTTATTATACAGTGGGGCCTCTTCAGCCCGTGTCACCTCCTCCTCTGGCAACATTCCAAAGTCTTTGTCTTCTGGCCAGTCCGTGATCACTTCTAAAATTCCTGGGCGACTGGGGTTTCCTGTGCGAGCCCGTTGTGTGGTCAGTGCGACCCACTTACTCCACATGGCATCAGTTGCACGTTGTGTAGAGGAGACCCTCCCTTTGAACATCCAGCCCAGCACTGGCAGTCGGGGTGCTAAGAGGAGCTGTGTTTCAGTACCAACCACTTCTGAGGCAGCTCGAACTCCTTCATATGCTGCTAATATCTCTTTTTCAGTTTGAGTATAGTGAGCCTCAGATCCTTGATATCCCCGACTCCAAAACCCCAGGGGTCGGCCTGGGGTCTCCCCTGGTGCTTTCTGCCAGAGACTCCAGGTAGGGCCATTCTCCCTGGCTATGTTATAGAGCACATTTTTAACATCTTGTCTTACCTGGACTGGCCCAAGGGCTACTGCATGAACAATCTCCCGTTTAATTTGTTCAAAGTCTTGTTGTTGCTCAGGGTCCCATTTAAAATCATTCTTCTTCTGGGTCACTTGATAGAGAGGGCTTACAATCAGACTGTAACTGGGAATATGCATTCTCCAAACCCTCACAACACATAAGAAGGACTGTGTTTCCCTTTTATTAGTTGGTGAGGACTTAGCTGCTATTTTGTTGATCGCATTCATTGGGATCTGATGACATCCATCTTGCCATTTTATTCCTGAAAACTTGATCTCCTGTGCAGGTCCCTTGATCTTACT